CTTGGAGCCGCGACTCATGATTTTGAGCAACTGCGTACCGTTCTCGTCGAGCCCGATACACTCTTCTTGCCAAAGAATCGACCAACTATCATCTAGACCGAGCCCCTGCGTCTTCAGCCTCGAAGTTCTGATATAACCGAACCGCGTAGATAGACGAGCTCTCCTCCGCCTTGCGGCGATATCCCATCGGACACTCTCGCCCTGCTCGCCTCTTCTCGTCGTCGACGCGCTGGCCGCTCATCGCATCCAATTGACGCATGATGATGATCGGGCCGCCGCTCGACTGCAGCATCTCATTTGATAAGTCCTCGAACTTACGTTGCATGCCGCGGTCGAGGGTCATGAATATTTTGCCCGCTCTCTTCTTGGGCTGCACATCCGTTTGTCCTAGCCATCTGATCACCATTCGTCTCCATTGTCGGTAATCGGACCATCCCATGAACAGTTCGGGGTGGGTGTAGTCGCCTTTTTCCCACCTATTCTTCTTGCCCCAGCCGTCATCGTTCCAGTCCGTTTTCCTCCATCCACACAGATGATTTTCCCAGTCGTCCCACTTCAACTGGATCTAGTCCTGCTTCCCGTCGTAGCCTTGGCTCTCCGACCGGTTGGTGTTCCACGGGTCGTTCTTCCCCCGTGGATCTTCCCTTTCGCGAACCGTCCGGTCAGCACCCTCTCGTTCTCTGCTCGCGTCGTTATTATCCTTCTTGCCCTTGTCCAAATACTTTTGGGCCAGCTTTTCCGTCTGCTCCATCTGTCTCTTCAAAATATGATCCAGCCCTGCTCTCTGGTCGCTCGTGAACTCGGAGTCCACTGTGCCCTCGGACGTCGCCTTCTCGCTGGGGGGTGTCTGCGTGCCACGATCCTCGCCGTCGCCATCGTTCGGATCTTCACGCACCACACACTCTGCTGGGAGTATCACGCTGCTGCTAACACTGACGCGCTAAAACACATCGAGTGATATCCGAAAGGATGGTGGCGATAAAATATGTTCCAGAAGCACGCAACTACCTCGGGAGACAAGGGTGCCTACGGATAAACACACATCACCGAATTTCTTACTGGGAGGTCAAGATCACACGATAATATACACAGCATGAACTCATTTACTCACGAGGGCGACGCAAGAGCCCAACACTACAATGTTGCTGGGGTCAACTCAAGCGAAAATGCAGGCAGTGGCAGCAGCGATTGTCAGCGCCCGTGTGACAGGGTTATCGTTACCCGATGGCGGCGGAGAAGCAGTACATAACCAGCTGCGCTGCTGCTAGGCTGGGGTCAGCTCGTGCGCGAAGGCAGGCAGTGGCAGCAGCGGTGGTCGGTGCCCAGCAGGCAGTGGCAGCAGGGTCTGCCAGTGCGAGAAGGAAAGGAGTGGCAGCAGCGGCTGCCGGTGCCCGATGCGAGAAAGCGGGCAATGGCAGCAGGGCGTGCCAATGCGAGAAGACAGGCAGTGGCAGCGTGGTGAGCGCAGGCCGTGGCAGCAGATGTTGTTAATGCGAGAAGGCGGGCGGACTGCTCGTGCTACTTAGCAAGCAGTGGCAGACGCTGTGGGTTTTGCGAGAAAGATTGGGGTCAGCTCGTGCGAGAAGCGGGGAGTGGCAGCCGATGCTGTCAGTGAGAGAACGCAGGCTCTTGCGAACAGCACAGCGTAAGCCAGTCATCAGCTGCAACGCGGGAATCAGCTCATTCGTGAAGGAGCGGCGAGGAGGAGGAGGAGGAGGAGGTGGAGGAGGAGGAGGGGGAGGAGGAGGAAAATGAGGAGGAGGAGGAGTCATAAATTATAAGACGAACAACCAGATGAAGAACAAGAGGAGGAGGAGGAGGAGGAGGAGGAGGAGGAGGAGCAGGCCAGTCAGCAGCTACAGCACTGGGAATAGCTCAAGGAGAGAAACGCCAGGCACTGTCAGCTGCGGGCGTGGGGCGGCAGTCTGCGCACGATGCGGCGAGGGGAGCGAGCGTGCCCGGCAGGCTCGCAAAGGAGCTGGAGCGACACCGTCAGCTGCAGTTCGCAGAGGCCTCCTCCTCCTCCTCCTCCTCTTCCTCCTCCTCGTCCTCGTCCTCATCCTCCTCCTCCTCCTCCTCCTCGTCCTCGTCCTCGTCCTCGTCTCCGTCCTCCTTCTCCTCCTCCTCCTCGCCCTCCTCCTCGTCCTCCTTCTCCTCCATCTTCTCCTCCTCCTCCTCCTCGTCCTCCTCCTCCGCGAAGTGCTCTGGGATCATCGAGGCCTCTTAGATGGGGTCGGAATAGATGGGGTCGAAGGATCGCGCCGCATCGCCGATACATCGGCAATGCATCGGTGATACATCAATGATGCACCGGGCGATGCGCCGTCAACGTCGGGCACGCGATATGGCAAGGGGAGCGAGCGTGCCCTGCAGGTTCGCAAAGGAGCTGGACAGAGGTCAAACAATCCAACCCCATAATAAACCGCCCCGACACGCGAAGTGGTCTGGTAAAAGCGCCCAAAGAAGGTACCGAACAGGGCAGGGCTGCTTAGGAAACGCCCGAGGCCGTTCAGTAAACGCCAATTGTCCGGTCCGACTTGTTTTTCCTCCCTTGACTGGAGCGACACCGTCAGCTGCAGCTCGATATTGCGGTTTAACCGCGTTGCCCTAGCGCCCACGTGCGGCCTGAGGGCAGGTAGAACGTCCCCAGCGCCGCCATTAATCATTTTTCGATGCTCTGGAGGTTGGCCCGCTAGATCCCGCTAGATCATCGTCGTCGTCGTCCTCTTCCTCCTCCTCCTCCTCCTCCTCCTCCTCCGGGCTGCCCTTCAGTTTGATCACTTGCTCGTTTGGCAGGCACGACCAATCAACGACCCCCCCAAGGGCAGGAGTTCCAGAAACTGTGGTGACCCTCGGAACGTCAAAGCATCGCAAAATAGTAAGGCTCGAAGGGCGCGCACTGGACGCGGCTCGCGGGGCTGAGCTGGATGGGCCCGTAGAGAACTGGTCAAGAGGGGGGACGAGTGCAAATCCGCTCAAGATCGGTCCCCAAACCAATCCGAGGGTCCATCCAACCAAATTAATCACTCCAAATCGATTCCCGGCGGTCCAAAGGCCCGGAAACGGCCCCCAAATGCCGAAAACCAGTGACGGGCCACCTCAGCCGCCCAGTCAGCACCAAGACTCGGACAGCAGTTGCAGAACCCTGGCCACACTCGTACAGTGGGGCTTGCAAAGCATCCCTTGGCGGCCCCACCTCGGCCAAGCTTTCGCCGCCGCCCTTGCGCAGCTTGCGCTTGCTGAGAAACTTCGTGAAACCGAACATGCAGACATACTCGAAGAGCTCGCATGTTTTCCGCTTGGTAGAACTCCACGGGTAATCCTGTCATTGGCCCACGGTCGCCGGTCATTACTACCCCCGCATTTATCTGGACAAACCGTTGGCTATATTGTCAAGACCAACGCACAAGAAACTCGTCGCAAGAAACCCAACCCTGAAACTCGTTGATGAGGGCCAAAGGTTGGTTTCTGGCTCTGTGGCTGCCAGCGGGAGACTCAAGTTACCCTGGGGCTCACTAGTGGCCAACGCAGTGCATCTCAACGTCAGACATTCGGCGTGCCATGCCAGCTGCGGTTTCTTCGCGACCGCCGGAACTGTTTTAACCAAACACTTTTACGTCGCGGCGCTGCAGAGGTCATGGAATCGCGAATCGGCCCGCGTACAAAAAGGGAGGAAGAAAGAGAGAGAGAGTGGCCGCAGACAGGGAGCCGGAACGCGGGGGCACCCTCACGCAGCGAGGCCGCGGGGAGCGGAGGGGGTTCTGAGCTGAGCAGGGGCGGCGGCCAGGTCGATCCCCGGCTGGTGATCCTGGTGTTCTGGGGGAGCATCTTTGACGAACGAACAACACACACCCATACCCATAGGGGGGTTCGTTGGGAGGAGGACTGGCTATGGGTATGGGTGCGGGTTCGAACGGGGACCCCCATCCGACAACACGCACCCATAGCCCTCTCCGACCCCCCCCCATGGGTATGGGTGTGTGTTGTTGGTTCGTCAAGCTTGGGGAGACTGGTGGTGGGCAAGCAGCGCTGGCTGTCCCGAGGCGGCCGCAGCGCCGAGGCCTTCGAGGCCAGGCAGGCCTGACGGGCCGGGGCGGCGTGGCATCGACTGATCGTTGTTGGGCCAGGTGGGGGTCTCTTGCCTTTCCCGACTGGGTCGTGGCCCTTTCCTTTACCCCGGCCTTTGTCTCGCTGCTGTTCGTTGCGCGGCAGCTGGCGTTCCCAGGCAGCCCTCCAGTAGACCCCCGCATTCTGCAGACCCTGCGGATGTCGAGGTATTCGCGGTACAAGTCGTTCACGAGCTCCTCGCAGAAGGCGTCGTGCCCCTTGGGTTGTAGGTCCCTCTCCCTGGTGCCCGGTCGTCCCTGGCGTCGCACAAGGCGCTCCATCCTTCGACGAAGAACGCGCCGCAGTGCCGCTTTAGCCTGTCAGCGACTTCAGGCTAGGTTTCGCGGGTGCGGGTTTTGTGATTCCACGCCTGGTGCCAGGTGATAATCCGTCGGGGCCGAATGCGCAGCGTGTCGCTAAAGTTTCCGTGGCGGGCGTGGCCAGGATCGGCCCGCGGAGCCCCGTGCCACTCGCGCGCCTGCGGGCCAGCGCAAGCTGGGCCGGCGGTGGAGGAGGAGGCTCCTCCCCCTTGGAAGTTGGCCCACGGGTCCCAGGGGTTGGTAAATTCAGTCCAGGCGTGCTGGGGTTGGCGACTGTACCCTCGCTCGACTGTCCTGAGGGACTACTTGTGTGCCCGTCCGTCCCCGGGTTCGGATGGTGGGGCCTCTTCTGGCGCTGTGCTGCTGGTGTGACGGTCGTTGGGGTTGGGTCCACCTGTCTCCGCCTCGACTGTGGCGCTGTCCTCCGCGGCCTGCTCGTGCTGTGGAAGCTGGGCGGTCGTCTGCTCAGCGTGCTCTGGGCCCCGTGCTGCTGGCCGCTGCCTGGACATGGTCGCCCACCTGGGGTGCCCTGTTGCGGTTTGCCTGGGAGTCTTGACCTGCGGCGTCGGCGTCTGTTGAATCGTCAACCTCCAACTCGCCGTCTCCGACAGGGTCCTCCTGCCCGGGGGCGACGATGTGGCCACGCTTTTGCCTCCTTGGTAGGGCGGTGCGCGGTGCGCCTCCAGCCGCGCAGCGGATGCGCCATCGGTTGCGCTGCTGCCCGCGGCTGGGCGAGGGTGCCCTTGGGGGCCTCGGGCTGGGGCGGGGCCTCGGCCGCGGCGGCGGCGCCCTGCGATGCCGTGCGGTGCCTGGGCCAGGTTCGGGAGTTTTTTTTTTTTTTTTTTGTTTTTTGTTTGTTCTTTTTTATTTTATTTTTATTTTTTTTGTTGTTTGATTTTTTTTTTGTGCCCTTACCTTGTTGTGGATTGCCTTCGCGGTGACACTCGGGTCGACCCTGGGCGTGTCTTACACCAGTTCTGGGGGCTGACAGGCGTTGCACCCCGTGCGAGGCAAGGAATCTCGTGAGGTGCTGCTGGCTGTACCTGTTTGGGCTTTTGCCTAGATTCGTGTATTAGCTGGGAATGGTTGGCCTGCAGGGAGGAGGGCCGTTGCTCGGCCAGGTGATCCTTCCGGTTGGGAGTGCGCCCATTCTGCCTGATGAGGTAAGCGACCAGGTGCACCAGGGCGGCGCGCCTACCGTCCCAGGGGCATTCCTTGGGTACCCCGCTGTCTGGGATTTTTGGGCCGTAGATGCTGCTTGGCAAGCCCTTGCAATCATCCTCTGTCCAAGCACGTGGATCCCGGGGGACGTCGTGGGGTCCGTCGGGGCTCCGTCGCTGTTGCTGCAGCCCATCCCTCAATCCAAACACAGACCAGAAAAGATGTGCACCCTGGCAGAACGAACGGTGTCTTCTGGCAGGGGTCCCACTGAACGACTCTGGGGCTGGCCGCCTGCTGTGCAGACGCGCGTAGCGCTGACGCGCGCTCCTCTTCGCGCGCTCGCGCTGTACTCCGGTGGGCTGCAGCAATCGGCTAACACACGTGGCTGCCGATGAAATAATTGGAAGCGGTAGACGGCCGACAGCGGCCAGGACTTCGAATTCGTACCAAGTCTCCCCCGCCTGTCGGTGCGCGTGGAAAGACAAGCAACTCGTCGGTGGCTCCAAGCAGCCACGAGACGGCATCATCGGCGTAAGCAAACTCACGCAAAAAACAGACGGAGCCCCCAACACGGGGCCCAAGATGCTCGCGAATACTGCACGGTACACAAACGTGTCTCCTAGATGCCGTCGGATACTGAAAAAGGGGCTAGAACACTAGAGCCATTCAACTATTATTTGGTTACCGGTCCCTTCCAAACGAGCTTTTACTCCCCTGCAGGGCCCACGATAGGCAACAATGGTGTAACTATGCGTCAGAAGCTGATGACAATATGCAAAGCATGCCGAATCTGTCCGCGATGGTCCCACTCAAGCCTGAAGACGCGCCCTGAAACTAACTCCGGGGTTCTCAAGAGACTACAAACACCACAACTACAAATATCTCCCTGATACCACCCAATAAGAGCCCAAACGACTTCTGTGCTCCCCAAGCCATCGCTGACTTCCACCCCGAACGAACGAGAAGCAACTACCGTTCGGCGAAAGAGGGAAGGACAGAAGCTGATGGGGGACTTGCAGGATACACCAAGGACGCGCGCACGCACACTCGCTGGTGCAACCACCTATCCAGAGGCCGACGCACGCTGGGAAGACCTTAAGTGACGAGCCCGGTGGCCCTGCCCGCGGACTGGAGCGAGTCGAAAACCGTCCGCGCGTAGTTACCAGCAGCCGCAGAGCGGAGAACGGTAGACACACAGATGCTCGTGGACGGACAAATGGACGGGCAGAAGGTCACACCAGCCACACATGGAGACAGATGTATGCATGGAAAAGACGACAGACATGCTGACGGAAGGAAGGTCAGGCAAGCCAGCAGAGACCAGAGTCGTAGCAAGCACGCCATTCGCATACACTCCGGCTGGCTTGGTCCAATACCGCCCTGTCCCTTCCGCCCATGCCACAAGGATGACCCAACAAGGTATAAAAATACAGGAAGCATGGATGCGAGGGAGAGATGGAGCAAGGGAAAGAAAAGGATCAGGGATGGACGCGAAGGGAAATACATCAGCAGAATAATGAGCGGGAGGAGAAAAGAGCTGGAGGGGATAGCACATACAATTCAACCTGGACTTTTACGGTGGGCTTAATATATGGTGCACGTGCGCGCGAGTTGCTGTAATCCTCCTCCATTGTGCTCGGGTGTGCCCCAAACCTCTTCAGTGTTTCAAGTGTGTCCACTTGGTTTATAGCGAAGGGCTGCCTGATAATACTAGCACGAGGGAACACCACTTCCTGTCTCACCACTACCCTCATCCCCTGCCTGCCTGAATTATAAGCACACGCCAAGCCCAAGTTGGAGCAGGGGGAGGGGAGGATCAACGGTTCTCACAGGAAGCACCGCTCAGATGAGACGACCCGCAGACAGTTCGCGACCATGCGGTCCTGCGAACCCATCGCGAACAGCACCACACCTGCAACGCCCAAATCCATGATCGTCCCCACTGTGCGCCGTGTGTTCAACTTGATCGTCCTTGCAACTGAAAGCAGCTCAAATCCGCCTCACGTACATGAACCATTCATAGGAACAGTGTTCACGTCAACTTGCTATTTCTTACCGATGGATCGCAGAAGCAAGATACACAAACGCCCAAGAGACTGACAAGGTCTACCAGCGACGTACCATGGCAACGTCCCTCGACTTGGGCGTCATCACTTCACGTCACCCACTGTTTTTCGCAATGTGACATACTGGAGTCGAAATCAAGGAGGGAGCGCGATCCCCCGTCCTGGCCTGAAAAAAACCTATGAGGAAGGGTCAGAAACCAGGGCCACCCTCGCTCCAGTGAGATGTTGCATAGGTTTCAGGACCCTTGGCTAAGATCAAGAGTACTATCCGTTCAGACGGTCTCAGAAACTGTAAAGAAGCTGGGAAACTCAATTTCTATCGAGACGCGCTTTCCGCAGTCGATGTATGTCGATGTGCCTCAAGGCTCCAGGGCCTTGCGCACTAAACACCTAAGCTTGGTAGCGGAGCGTAAGCTCCAATACCATTCCCCGCGCGCGGCCGGCCGCGCGCGATCGGCGGCGCCTCCCGAGCGGGATCCACTGCACCTCCACGACGAGCTTCAAGGGAGCTCAAAGCCTTCCTGGTGAAGGTCACCTACCGCAACATCGGCGTCCACAACATCGACGACAGCCCGAGGAATACCCTCGCTGATAGCCCATCTGATTATGGAGACGACTGTCCACCTGGATTGGACTCGGTCTCTCCATCACGATGGCTGACTACAAGACTCCGGCAAGCCTGCACGAATTCACGCGATGTCTGCCGCCTGGATGGAAGCCGTACGACGACGCGTATCTTTTCAAGGCCTCCATGCAGAGGCTACATATGTGGTGGCGGTTGACACCGCTGGACGAGAATGAGGCAGGCCCGAGCGTGGAGTCGAGGTTGCTCGACTGGGCCTTCACGATTGCAATGGCGCTGGAGATCACGCGTGATGGAGATCGACACAATGGAGACGCAGCACTAGCTCTTCCAAGAGTTGAGGAGGAGCTCGATGCGAACGGCGAGGTCTCGACAGCAACGAACATGAGTGAAGCTGGTCAGTTGATGCAGAAACTCACGGGGGGCATTTGAGCAGCATGATCAAGACAAGCAATGTGCCTTTTGGGATCGATTCCTGGACACAAGAGGATGCAACCAGACACTTCAATCATACTTGTTGAATTTCAAAGAATGGCTGGGCCGATCTCACGATACCTAATGTTGGACGTACTCACATGTTGTTCAAATGGTCTGAATCGCCTGCTCGTCGCATCTCAGATATGGAACTTTACATCGACAGCGATCTTGAGAAATTCTCTACGGTGTATTCGATGTCAACTCGCACAGATAAGCAAAATATGTTACTGGGGCAGCTTCTCATCACTACCCGGACGACGAGAATGACTGCGAACACGTCTTCGAAAATGACCAGGATTACGAGGGCGACAAGCTCATCGATTGGACGCATGATGAAGAGAGTGGCCTCAGCTACCACGAGTACGGGACCGACAGCAGCGAGAGTAGCTGCGGCGCCTACGACGACGACGGCATCTGGTACGAGGCATCAGCCATCGAAGCCTGGCTGGACCAACAAGAGCTGGATCAGGCCTACCAGATGACGGGATTTTGTCCACACGTTCGCTTTGTAGGCTACCGACGGAAAGACAAGAGCAAAGGAGAAGGTCGCGGACGTTCCAAAGGTCAAGGTTCCAGTAAGCACCGCGGTGGCAAGGGCAGGCACAGCAATCACTATGACGAGAACGAGACCTGTTGGAACAAGAGCGACAAAGGTTACGGCAAAGACAAATCCAATAAGGGCTCCGACAACGAGAACAGCGGGGACTGCGCTACATGTGGATCGGTGTGGCACCATACTCAGGCCTGCACGGCGTCTCAAGGAGCACCGAAGACACCATCACAGCAAAGCAGCGGACCTCAGACAAGCACTGGATACTGCGACCTACCGAACTCACCGATGGTACCATCCACGCAGGAGTTCGAGCATCACCGCGACATCATCGCCGAGGCTGACAACGAAGAAGCTTACGAATATACTGCGAAGATCACCATACTCCTTCTTGGGGAAAGCTTGCCCCAGAGCGTAATACTCAATAATATCGAGTTCTCTCAAATGAGAACGATTACAGCTCTCACCGACGACCTCGCTACAACAAAAAAAGAAAAGCAATGGCAAAAACAATAATGACGACGACCATCACGGTAACGGAACAGGTGTTGGCAAGCGAGCTATACTCGATCCGATACCCGAGAGCAATCTGATGCAGGTCAAGAAGAACGACGCCTCGGACATCTTCACGGACACCAGCAAGAGCAAGACGAACCCGGTAACTGCCACGGAGTTCGGGAGTACGACGAGGAGTAAGACGTTCGACTTTCCAGTTCGACCTCAGCGACAGCGAGACGAAGCTGAAGATGATTAACCACCAGTTCAGCGAGCGAGATCACTGGCACCCAGCTCTGTAACGCCACAGACAGTAGCGACTCCGCCAAATAAGTCATTCTCGGATATCATGAACACCGCGCAAAGAGCTGCTAAAAGACAGACCAAACTGAAACTATCAGAGAAGTATGTGAAGCACTTCTGTGGCCTTAAGGCAAGCATCTTGAAGTCACTAGCTCAAATGTTCGGCTATCAGGCAGCGATGGAGTGGCCAACCCATCTCTCGGCTCGGGCAAGCTACCTCTCAACCTGGACGCGCTTCCCAACAGCAGCTTCACGATGGACATGCTTGAAGGCAGTAGTAGCCGTTGCCCATTGCTGATGCCGCTCGGCAGCATGATCAACAACACCGTGGGCCTCTTGGCAGGCGTGCTGCCGAACACGGACGGGGTCCTCATTATCAACAGCCTGGACGGCCTCGGCAACAAGCTTCGTCCTACTGCATTCACGCTGGCGCTGTACACGGACTCGCACCACTACTTCCTGCCGATTGATGATCCGCGCGCCGGCACTGGCAAGGAGCGAGAGCGACTTCAGCGAGCTTTGCCATCCTATGTTGAGAAGATGCTAGATCTCAACTGCTGGAAGCAGACCACCAACGCGACCGCGGGCCTCATGACGTGCGTTGAAGAGACAGGCGGGGCGGATGAACCACTTGGGAGTCCTTTGCTAATGACTTCAAATAATTTGACAGCTAAGACCTCAGAGAGTGGAATCAAAATGAGATTCGTTTCGCCGCCACCTCGGCACGACACCGACACCGACGCAGAGAGCTACCACGGACAACAGATCATTGCCAAGACCTACTATCAGAAGTGGAAGTCGCTCGACTCTGCGAAATGGTCAGGCGTTAACATATGGCCGAAGAAATTCAAGACCGATAAAGTGAAGCATTTAGTCCACGCGTATCGTGCTATGCTAGAAGAGTTCTACTTCGAAACGCCGCTGCCATTGGCCTCTGCTGGCTCGCGGTCAGCCCCATGTCCAGCGGCGCCTGGGACTCGCGGCCCTTGAGGTTGACGTCGGCCACCAGCCCTGGGATCACGTCAAACTCGCCGGCCAGCTCGGTGAAACATCCTGGGTTGCAGCAGCTCCTCCTCCAGCCCGCTCGCGCCCGCGGCAGCCCGCCCGGCTCCTCCCGAGCCCGCGGCCGCGGCCGCCGGCGCTGGGTCTGCCGGGCCCGACGCCGCCGAGGCCGCCGGCGCGGGACCTCCTGAGCCCGCGGCCGGCTCAGGCAAAGCCGCGGGCGCGCGCGCTCCCCCCCCGGCCTTGGGGCCGCGCCCCGAGCCTCGACTGCCGAAGGCTGGGGGGCTGCTGGTGCCTCCTGGGCCGGCTGCTCCGCCTCGCGCCTCCTGACGCGCGGCGCCGACAGCCCCGCGGGCGGCGGCTCCGCCCGCGCCTGCGTCGCGCCCTTTCTGCCCTCGACATCCCTCGGGGCTGTCGGGGGGGGGGCGGGGCGGGCGCGGGGAGGAGGGCAGAGGTGGTGGCGCGGGCAATGACCGCCGCGCGGCACTCGAGGACACTGAGAACCTGGTTCAACAAGCCAATCAGTTCTGCGTCGGCATGTTTCCGGCAAGCTCTGAGAAGTGCGTGAAATAATCGGTTGTAGCTATGAATGAATACTCGCCAACTAACATCGGAAACGCAACCGCGAAGTGCCTCCTGGCGCCACGCTGCCTGCTGCTCCGCCTCTCGCCTGCACCTCATCGGCTTCCTCAGCTGCCTTCGCCTCCCTGAAGCGGCGACGTCGATCGTCTCCTCGGGCTGCTCGATCCTGCGGGATCCTGCGTGGCGGAGGGAGGTCGGGAGAGGGACGGAGAGGCGAGGGGGCGGGCACAGGCCGCCGCCGCCACGCCGCTCCTCATCGGAAGGGGCCAAGAGACACACATAACAGCAGACACGACCCCCCCCCCAGGAATCCCAGTGCCCTCGCGTACCCTCTTGCCTCGATCACGCGCGCTCCGCACGGCTCCGAACGGGCCGTTCCCGCGCGGCCCATCCTCGCCGCACTCTCGCGAGGCAGCGCGGCCCTCGGTCGGTCCGACGCCCGCGCCCTGGACCCTTGGCCTCGGGCCGAGGCCAAGGTCCTCGAGGCCCTCGAGGTCCTCGGGCCAAGGCCCCTGGTCCTCGAGGTCCTCGAGGCCCTCGAGGCCCTCGAGGTCCTCGAGGCCCTCGAGGTCCTCGGGCCGGCGTCGCCGAGGCCCTCGGCGACGCCGGAGACTACGTCTCTCGCGGCTCGGCGGCAGCGGGGGCCACCGCCGCCACCGGCGCCTGCCGGCCGCCCAGCTCCCGGGGCGACGCCGGCGGGAGCCGCCGCGCAGCGCTCGTCGCCGCGCTTCCAGCCCCAGGAGTTACCCCTGAGGGCCCTAGAGATCTCCCCCTCGTTCCAGGCCCTGCGCTCGGCGGGCGGCAGGCGCGTGATCGCCGCGCCGCGCTGCGCCCCGCTCGAGGCGAGTGCAAGC